ACTGCGCCCACGGCGACGAGGCGGGCGTCTTGACGTGCACAAACGCCGAGTCCTTGTAGGCGCCGTTCGAGACACAGCTGTCGCAGCGACCAATGTAGTTGCCGGTGTCCGACCGGAGCGAGATGACGTCGCCGTCCTTGAAGCAGCACTGATCGGCAACAGCGAGGGAGCCCGCGACGGTGGCGAGAAGAAAGAGACGTTCGAGGTGCAGCATCTTGAGACGAGTCAAGAGAGAAGTACGCTAGAGTACGAGGTGGTGGGTTTGGAAATGACCTCTCGCTGGCGTCGCGTGAGCGCGGTCTCCGCCTCTTTCGCAGCCGGTAGCACAGTACCACGCACGACTGAAAAGCGGACGAGTCGAGTGAGATGCAGGTCGACACATCTGCTCGGCGCGCGGCAAGGGCATATAATAGAACATCTTATATGTATCCTTCATGTCGGCGGCGCGGCCACTTGGATCTGCTTGCGCTTGATGCTGTTGTCGCGTTTGAGCTGCTCGAGCTCGCGCTCGAGCTCGGCCATGCGCTCGTGGTTGCTGCGCATCGACTCGAGAAATTGGTTGGCAGCCTCTTCGCCAATGCCGTCCTTGAACATGCTCTCCTTGACCTCGGCTTCCGGCGTCTTCTCGTGCAGCATCGCACGATACCGTAAAAAGTTGGTAAAGAGATGAGTGCCTACACAGCATCCATGTCTCAGAAGGATGCAAATGGAACGTGCATCGAGGCGTACCACCCGCAAACGACTTTTGCTTGATGAGCTTGCTGCGCTGGCGCCGGCCATGTATGTGTTACAAAAGCCAAAATTCGGCCCGATGCATTTCGTATGGGCTCACAAACAAGCCGCGATTGATCGATTTTGAGAGGCCCCAGGTGACCACCCCTAATAATTAATACGAGGCCAGGATGCACTTATGAAGGACGCTGGGGCACGTAGAAATGCGCCGTCGAGGCCCGGAGCGCGAAAGCATCAGGGTTGGTGTGGTGCCACGTCACGAAGGCGACTCGCAGCACCATGACAGCACGTAGGGCATTTCAAACGAAAGTGAGCGATAGCATACATTATGGATGGGGTATAGCAAGTAGACGACTGTATTCGGGATCGCTTCCTCAAATGCCGTTCTATTGTGCCCGTTCTTGAAATGGTTGGCCGCATGTTGCATGGGGCGCGCAACGCGAGGCGCGTCGAACACCACGACTAAGGCGCCTGTGTAGCGCAAGGTGACGAAGAAGGCTGCCACCAAGAAGGCTGCTTCCACGCCATCTCCAGTGGGGGACATTGGAAAATGCTTGCACGACGTAGTACGTCGTGCAAGCATTTTCGCGGTACCCGCCCTCGCTGGCGAGGAAGTACAGCAGTATGGCGACCTTCTTGGTGAACGAATGCGTGGACTTGCGGAACTTGTAGTCGCTCATGTAGACGCGGAGGGTGGACACAAGAGCGCGAAACGTAGCTTGGGAGCAGATGCGGCTTACCGCACGCAAGGATACATATAAGATGTTCTCTTATATACCCTTGCCGCGCGCCGAGTAGATGTGTCGACCTGCATCTCACTCGACTCAATTCGTCCGTTTCACGGTCGCGCGTGGTAATCCATCTGCTCGCCTACGATTAACGATTTCCGTTGTACCGTACTGAACTAGTACCAGACAAGAGGAACGGGGAACTCCACCTATTATAGCACATGTCCCCCCATCCGGACACGAATGTCACTGAAGACGGTCACCATAATCAGGCAACGCTCGGCATGTGCCACAAAGAACACAAGGAAGAAGCTCGATGAAACGGTTCATTTAAATAGTGTTAAACGTCAAATGCAACCGTCTGAACAACCACCTAGCACATGTGTCTAGGATCGGGTCAGAAGCAGTGGATCGGAAATGTGAGGTTAAGCGCCAGCACACTGCG